CCCCAAAACCCCAAAACCCCAAAACCCCTTTAATTTTATAAAACCTTGAAATCTCGACCAAATTTTATAAAATTAACAAATTCCAAAAAGATGATTTCATCGAATGTAGTAGAAATGCTTGATAAGCTGAGCTTAGATCACCCAGCTGTAGGATCCCAGTTAGAAGAGATCAAGAATAATTACAAAGAGTCTATGTGGCATATCATCACAGACCAGTTGTATAACTTGACTTGTGATGCTGAGTTTGACCAAGGAGCTGACCTCCTTACTTTCTTTAATGATTTCGTAATCAAGCTTGATACTAAGATTAATGAGCTCAAGTACATCAGAATTGCAGTCAACTGCAGCCGCCAGTTCCAGAGTAAGTCCCACAAGGGTTTATTTGTGTAGATATTGAAGAAGCCATCACCTTTTTGAGTGGTTTGGAAGAGAAAGTTAAGGATTCAATCGGAGCACAACTCTTCTTAAAAGTCAGCATCGCTGAGAAAAGACTAGCACTTGGCCAATACAACGAATGCTTTGACCTACTTGAAGAAGTCGAGGGGCAGCTTAAGGCTCAGAACGATATAGACCAGATTGTGTATTCTGAGTTATACAAAACTCTTGCTCTGTATTATAGAAGAAAGGAGAAATACACAGAATTTTACCAAAATGGGCTCCAGTTCTTGGCATATACTCCTGCTGAGGAGCTCACCGAACAAGAGAAGCATGAGTGGTGTATAAATATGGGCAAGGCCATCCTTTTAGGAAAGGATATCTACAATATTGCAGAACTTCTTGAGAAAGATATCTTAAAGTCCCTCATTAATACTGATTATGAATGGCTTTATGACATCCTGAAGGCACTCAACACTGCTAATATCGATGAATTCGAGGAATGCTTGAGAAAATACGAAGACAAAATTAATTCTTCTGAGGAATTAGTGAAAAATCAAAATCAATTAGAGCAAAAAATCAAGATTTTAGCATTCCTAGATCTTATTTTCCACAGAGAGAAAGGAGATAGAAACCTAGGCTTTGAACTCATAGCAGATATCACCAGGCTCAGAATTGAAGATGTAGAGCTCCTTGTCATGAAATCAATGAGCCTTGGTCTTGTTAGAGGAACTATTGATCAAGTTGACCAAATCATCAGAGTTTCGTGGGTCAAACCAAGGATGCTACCAAGAGATAAAATTAAGATAATGAGTGAGAAACTTGCTAAATGGGATGTACAGATTAAGCACACTCTTGAACTCCTTACCCAAGGTAGTGAGTAATTTCATCCTCATATTCCTAATTAAGCTGGATGCAATAATGGCTCATTTGTAAGGGGTTTTGGGGTTTTGGGGTTTTGGGGTTTTGGGGTTTTGGGG